GACCCCTCTTTAGGCCTTGGAGAAGTTGGGGGGCGGAGGGCTTGTCTGGATTTGTCGGTGAGGCTCGCCGCAGCGCGGCCAATAAAGGTTTATGACATCTGACCGGCAGTGAAGGTATGCGAGCTCCCGATTGCCCTGTATTCGGGGAGAAGAGCAGTTTCCCTGTTGCCTGGCAACGCCCCTGATGGACGCGCGCCGCGGCCAATCGCCGCGCCCGCAGGTCCCCTTGAAATGTTTTTGACAAGTACAGTAGACGCGAGTGCGGCGCGTGCGCGGGGCGCGGGCACCCGGCCCCCCACCCGGGCCGCCCAGCTTTCTCAACTTTGTCAAGTTCACGTAGACCATCTGTTCCGAGCCCGTCCTGTCTTTGTCAGTTATTTGGAGACCTGCTAACAGCCGGCAACAAAACAAAACAAAAAAACCTCAGCGTTGTGGCAGCATTTTCTCCGTGTCCAAGGGAGAATCGTGAAAAAGCAAAGCAAAACAACAACAAAGCCTCACAGCAAGTGGGACGGGCTGGTGGCCGCGGGCGGGACACAGGAGAAGACGGTGTGTGTGTGTGTGTGTGTGTGTGTGTGTGTGTGTGTGTAAGGTAACCAATAACAAACCGGAACATTTGTAAGGAGGTCACCAGTGAGTAAGGGTTACGCATCTGATGGAGCCCTGTGATTGGCAGCAGATTAAGAAATGTTTGCTTAACCGCAGACTCACATACTCATATGACCCAGACACTGCCCCCCTCCCCCCCAAAAAATTGGAAGAAAAAAGATTTGGCGAGTTCTGTGGAGTGTAATCATGGAAAACTCGGCTGTGGTTTCTGGGCACTGCTTTTTAAATGGAACTGTAGCGATCAGCAACTCTTAGATGATTGTTCAATAAAACGCCAGGCGTAGGGGGGTGCAGCTAACAGTTGACACGGATGGGGCGGGCGGCCCAGTCTGTCTGGGACCACTTTTCTGGACCACGTCCTTTCTTTTCCTCACAGAACCCCACTGCTGCCGCTGTTTGTTTAAAACAAAAGAAAACATGGAGAATAGCGTGTTAGTTCCTTTGGGGAGCTACTGAGACAAATAAGCAAATTAAAAAGAAAGAGAGCAGCAGGTTGTCATAGCAACAGTGCAATTAAATTACTTGACTGTCAGCCATGATACAATTTTCCTGTTGGGAAGCGTTGGAGACATGAAACTTTCCCCGGGAGCTGAAGTTGACGTCCGTGGCTAGGCAGGGCATTTTGGACTGGCTGCAGGGGCTATTTCTGGGCATCAGGTAATGGTTGTTGTTAGGTTTCAGCTGGTCAGCTCCGACTCCTAATGACCCCATGCGCTGGAGAGGGAGACTACTTCCTGGTCACAATTGTTATGTCTGAGCCCACTGTGTCAGCCCATCTCATGAGAGAAGACTTAGGTTTTCAGACATTCCTGAGGAACCTGAGCGAGACCAGACAAGGACTGGCTGTGCCCACGGGGAAGTAAAAAGCAAATTGGGGTGCACTGGGCCATCTCCCCAACCCAAGAGATACTGTCTTAGGAACTGATTCCACTCTATCCTGTTGTGCTTAAGGAAGCCTTATCATTTGGTAGGGAAACAAAACAAAAGTTACACATTGTGAGTCTGAGGTTTCTGGGCTTCCTGGCCCGCTGCTGGCTTGTGGCCCCACCGGAAGTGGTCTGTGCTCCACGTTGTGTGTCTGCCTGTGAGCAGGTCCTGTCTGCCTTCCTTGTGGGGAGTAAGGGTGTGGCGGGTCTCCTGGTACCTGGCGGGCTGTTTAGTGGCTCCAGGCGGTTCCTTTACTAGAATCCCATTGTAGAACTTGCCCAGCTAAAGTGACACTTTACTTAGCATTCCAAGTAACAGTGCACTTGGCATGGTCATGTCTCTGCTTTAGATGGCCTTATATTTATTATTTTTAAATCGTTTTATTAGGGGCTCATACAACTCTTTATCACAATCCATACTACATCAATTGTGTAAAGCACATGTGTACATTCATTGCTCTCATCATTCCCAAAACATTTGCTCTCCACCTAA